TTTAAAAATTTTTTTCCTTCTTTCTCTCTCTCTGCCGCCACCCCCTCTGTTGCCGTCGCCGTCACCGCCCCTCTTACAGACCAAGATTAATTGATTTGTAAAAAAATAATTACAATCTTACAGACCCTGATTAATTGATTTAGAAAAGAAAAAAATTAAAACAAAAGCCATACAATACATACAAGTTAGCAGTTGTAGAGAGAGAGGGGGGCAAGCTTGAGAGTTGAGAGACAGCGGTTGAAGCTTGCGAACGGCGAACCCGAACTGGAACAGCGGGCGATGGAAATTGAAAGATATGAGTTTTGATTTTTTGAACAATCTGAAATGATATGCCGATATGGGTTTTGAACTTTTGATTCTTGCAGACAGATAGATAAAACTAAAATATATGGATTTTGAATTTTTGATTCTTGTAGATTTTGTAGTTTGCAGTTGCACAAAGAGAGAGGGGGGCAAGTTAAGAGAGAATAGAGATGGAGGCGATTGGGAGGTTGAAATGATTTGCCCTAATTTTGTTTTTTTAATAATAATATAATCATATATATATATAATATACGTAGTATATAAATTCCGAAAAAAAAAAAAATTGTTAAAGTAAAAAAAAAAAATCAACCCGACCCGGACTGCCCGAAAATATTCGAGTTGGGTTTTGACCATAACCCATGTTGAGTACAATTCAGGCTGACCCAACCCAACCCCATTCGGGTTGAGGCTGGATTGGGACTGAGCTGGATTGGGCCAGCCTAACTTGCAACCCTACTTCCAACAAGAGATAGCTTAATGCCATTCCAAGAATTCAATTAAAGAATAGTAATCTTGTTTGAGAAAAATAATAGAAAATAAACTATTCTAATGAATTTACAATAATACTCTATTTCATAGATTTTGTGTTTTTTTTTTTTTTTTAATTTATAAAAATTAGGATAAATTTGGTATTAATAAAGTTTTATTAAAAATGGCTAGTCAATCCTTCTATTTTCTCTCAAAATTCTTCCATTCCTTTTCTGTTTTTCCTTTTCTTGTAAAATTGATGCAGTCCATTCAAAAAATGAATTAGGGATCGGTCTTTAAATTTTTGTTTTTTTTTTTTTTTTTTTTGTTCCCTGTTTGGAAAACCTATAAACAGATAACTATGAATTTTTTTTTTCTTGTGAATAAAGAACTCTTGGAGAATGCTATGACTATCTATATATATATATATATATATATATACATACATGTGTTAGATGTATATGTGATATTTGCTTGCAAGAGGTTCATCCTGCATTGGGTCATATACACCATCCCCTTCACAACCTATCTCTGGATTTGGACCGTAAGACCATTGATGTGGAAAAAAAAGTAAGACCATTGATGAGTGGATTGCTGCCCTATTTTGTTTTCAAATAGCTAATTTAGATTGAATATTAAATAGATTTACTTTATTTTAGACTGTATATTAAATAGCTAATTATAGCATTCTTTTTTTTCTTGACATTCTTACCAATAATTGTAATGGGGTTTGAATTAAATTAATTTATCTAGATAATTCTAGATGCCCTCTCTTTATTTTTCCTATGTGAACCTTAATTCTCTACTTCTACATAAACTCTTCTAAGTCTTGTAAAAAGTATAGAAAGTATTTATACATTATTGTCTTTGATTTATTTTGTCTAATGAAATTAACTGATTCATTTATTTTTATAATTGTAGGTAACGCTTGTTGCACGATTCATAATTTTTTTCGTCAAAATGCATTAGTTGGTTGCTTTTTTTTGGAGTACGAAGAAGAAGATGATGTTGTCGGTGTGGGGAATGCTAGCACAAGTCAAGGACCGAATGCAGTTAACTTCTATGAAGCAAAGTCTCATGGGATAGAATCACATACCTTTACAAGTGATGTTCATCCAAATAGAATCACATATTTCATTTTTTTTCATGTCTTTTAAGTTTAGATGAGAAGTGAGATGGTTTATGTATGTAGACATTGAAATTCATGTAATGTCATGAATGAAAGAAACCCATAATACAAGAGCAGTTCTTTGCTACACAATTCCTATGATGAGATGGTTTATGTATGTAGACATTGAATTCATGTAATCTTATGAATGAAAGAAGCTCCATAATACAAGTCTTTTTTCATTTTTAGTGCATTTTTTTTGTTAATTTGAAGATATTTAAGAGTAATTCACATTTAATTTTTATAATAAATCTAAGAAATAAATAAAAAATAAATGAGTGATAGGAAATATTCTTTATTTTCATAAAACTATTTTACCAATCAGTTTTATGAGTTTCGGTTGTCCTTTGGTAATTTTTCCAACCAACTAGGTTGAGAAACTGAAAAAATTGAAAACTATTTTCTGTTCTGATTCTGGAAAAACTGTTCTTGTGAATTGTTTTTATAAATGTAATCCAAGCAAAGCCTTTGCATCCATGGCCCATGGTATGCAAAGTGATGGGACCCACTCTGTGGATGCCTGCTAAAGACTTCCGCTGAAGTTTTTGATTCTAATAGCACGGTCCTTTAATTTATACTCGTGGCACAATTGTAAAGACCAAAAGAATGGAAAGGGACGTCTAGGTCTGGCTGGTTGGCCTTTCTCGTTATTCAACATGTCACGCATTGCAAATTCTTCGTAACAGAGGAAGCCATCACTGTCACAGATCTGTTTCAAGTGGGTCAAAGAAGGAAAAATTGTGAACCGTTTTAGAAGCCTTTGATGACCATGGAAAAACATGCCCATCATTATTAATTTATAGATATTAGAATGTTTATATATAGTGAAATTCAATTGCTTCCTGATAAGCAAAGATAGTATATTCACTTTTAATTTTGACTTTAAAATTTAATCCTACGATAATTAATTAATCAATTTTCTTTTTATATTTAAGGCAATTGCTTCTTTTTTTTTATTATAAATTAATAGGAAATGACAAAACTAGACATGTATTTAATGGAAATAAACTAAAACCAGTTAGGATTTTCTTTTATACGAATTCCATCCTATCCGAATTCTCAAAGTTTACCAATTAAAAAGAAAAAAATTAATTATTTCCAATTCGTTCGAGATAGAAGGTTGACATATACAAGACAACCAAATCTGAAAAATATAAAAATAATGAAATTTCCAATCTCATTAACTTTGAATTGTCACGGCGAATTCTACCTTCATCACCTCCACCTCCACCGCCACCACCACCACCACCACCACCACCACCACCTACCTTGCCACTGCCGCCAGCGGTTGTGGAGGTGGCGACAATACCAAGGTAAGTGATGGAGGTGGTGGGGTAGGTGGTGGCTGTGGCGGCGACGGCGGAGGTGGCGGTGTGGTGATGGAGGTGGCGACAATGCCAAGGTAAGTGATGGAAGTGGTCCATTCTGGTGATGGAGGTGGCGACAATGCCAAGGTAAGTGATGGAGGTGGTCCATTCTCTTTATCTTTCATATTTTTTATAGAACAATACTTGCCTATTCACCGGTGAGTGGAAAACTTATACTCACCATTAATGTAGCGCATTGCTAAACTGACAAGTGTGCTTACATTTAAAAAAAAAAATAAAAAATAAACAAATCTAAGGACACTTAAAAATCTATCATATGATTTGCTCCTTTGACATGGTCAATACCAACACACAAAGAAATGAATTCATCTACCACTCAAGGCCCTTGTCCATCTTTCTATAAAGTTGCTGGAGAAAAAAGACAGTTGAAACTTGAAATTAAATAGGACTCTATCTATGCATGGATGAGGAGAACTGGAATGACCCTCCAATTTGAGAATTACTTAATGGGGGGTTGATTGCCACCCACAGAAGAGATATAGTAATTACAATCAAACGTGAAAAAGAGGAAGAGGGGAGAGAATTATAATTTGATTCGGATTTATTTGGGTTTAATCAGATAGTTATTAAATTTTTTATTTTTTAAAATGTAAGGACACTTGTCAGTTTAGTAATGCACCAAATACGTGGTGAGTATACGTTTCCTACTCACCGTTGAGTAGGCAAGTATTGTTCTTTTTTATATTGGGTTACATGATTTGATGATTTTGCTTGTCTTTGAATTCATTTTTATGCACACACATACAAATAAATATATTTTGAGAGAACAACATTCCTTTGTTATTGGATTATTCAGTAAGTAGTTGTTTCACAGACATAAATTAATTGCAAGATTAAGAAGGGGACGATTGTGCATTAATTAAAATAGAATATTATTTTTTTTTTGTTTTAAGAATTATTACTTATAGTAATTTACAATTAATATTAATTAAAAGAATGATAATTTTGGCCTACAAATGAAATAAAAAAAAAATCTTTATTTCCAATTTTTTTTTTTTTAATTGATATGTTTTGAGAATTCTGTGGCTGAATGGATAGAAACAAAGGGAATAAACCTTTAATTGGTATGCTTTTAGTATTTGGATAGAAAGAAATTCGTATAAAAGAAAATCCTAACCAATTTGGTTATAGTTTATTTCCATTAAAAACATGTCTAGTTTTGTCATTTTTTATTAATAATATATAATGGTAATTAAAAGAAAAAAGCAATTGCTGTAAATATAAAAAGGAAACATTGATTAATTAATTACCATATGATTAGACTCTAAGGTGAGGATTAAAAATAGTATATTACTCTCTGCTCACCAAGGAGCAATTGAACGCCACTGTGTTTATATATATATATACACACTTATGTTGGGCTATTATGTAATTATATATAGCTGATAGGGCCCTTGTGTTATTAGGTTAGTCTTCTATCTTTATATAAGCCTATGTAGGCTTAGGGTTAAGCAAATACATATTATATACACTGATGTCTGCTCTCTCTCTCTCTCTCTCTCTCTCTCTCTCTCTATCTCATGATTTTGAACATGGGCTCAATTCAAGTAGCAATACGAAAACAGAGTCCACTCCAAAATCCATTTTTATGATTAAATTTGTTGTAAAATCAAAACCGATTCATTTGGGTTTCAGAGATTTGGATGATTAACTTGGCTTCAAAGAGTGTGAAAGGTAGACAACACCATTATGGGAAGCATAAGTAAATCATCAAAGAATTTTGGCTTTACCATAATTCTTTACTTGCATTCTATTTTTTCCATGTTAACAATAACCTCCTATGCAGTAGAATTGAACACCATAACTACAACTCGTTCTCTTACGGATGGGCAAACCATGGTCTCTTCAGACAGAACATTCGAACTGGGATTTTTCAACCGGTCGGGCGGTATTTCCAGGAATCGATACTTGGGAATATGGTACAAGAAAATATCTGATGGGACTGTGGTATGGGTTGCCAACAGAGATACTCCACTTACTGATACCTCAGGAGGAGGTGTCTTAAAGCTCACAGACGGAGGAATTCTCGTGCTTGTCAATAGTACAAACACCATCTTCTGGTCTTCTTCAAAGTCATCCTCATATAACAACACACTGAATTCAGCTCCAGTTGCACAGCTTTTGGATTCGGGTAATCTTGTTGTCAAAGATGCAGCAAATGATGAGAATTTCCTGTGGCAGAGTTTTGATTATCCTGGAGACACTTTGTTGCCGGGCATGAAGCTTGGAAAGAACCTAGTAACTGGAATCGATAGGCGTCTATGGTCATGGAAGTCCAGTGATGACCCTTCTAAAGGTGAGTATTCTTATGGATTTGATCTTCGTGGATTCCCACAAATAGTCCTCCTGAAAGGTTCGGTTGAGCAATACCGTAATGGACCATGGAATGGTATCAGCTTTAGTGGCACGGTGGGTTTAAAACCAAACAGCATCTACACATACCGTTTTGTTTTTAATCAGCAGGAGGTGTTTTATGATTTTGAGCTTATTAATAGCTCAGTTTTCTCACGGCGGGTTATGAATCAAAATGGAATTGTACAGCGCTTGACATGGAATTATAAAATACAGGATTGGACAGTCTACCTGAATACACCATCAGATAACTGTGATTTTTATGGACTGTGTCATGCCTATGGTATCTGCAGCGTTGCTAACTCCCCCGAATGTGGGTGTCTTGATAAATTTATGCCAAGGTACCCAAAAGATTGGGACACAGCAGACTGGTCAGGTGGGTGTGTTCGAAGAACGCCCTTGGATTGCCACAATGGATCATCAAATGGATTTCTCAAGTATTCCGGTGTTAAATTGCCTGACACACGGTATTCTTGGTTTAATAGGAGCATGAACCTCAAGGAATGCGAGACAGTATGCTTGAAAAACTGTTCTTGTATGGCTTATGCAAATATAGACGTAACAGCAGGAGGAAGTGGCTGCTTGCTCTGGTTTCAAGACCTGATTGATATTAGGGACGTCACTGAATTTGGACAAGATATTTACATAAGAATGGCTTCCTCTGAGTTAGGTATGTATGATATTTACACAAGATACTTATATATATATATATATATATATATATATATCCCCAAACATGAGTAGCTTTTACATTCTTTTGTGGAAATAAAAAGAAAGTTGCCATCCTTTCAACAACTTTGCAAGCAGAGTTGTAGAAAGGAGGCATAAATAAAGAGGCATTGAGAAGCACTCACAAATTTTTCTTGCACTTCTTACGGTACTTAGGTATGGATTATCTTATTAGATCTGTATCTGAGAATGGCAACCTCAGAATTAGGTATTAACTTACTACTCAGTGAACTAGATTATTGAAAACTGTGAGTAATGGATTTAGTTTTTATGTTTACACCTTTTCTTCTCTTCCAATTCAGTTACGGTGATGGCTTTAAGCCTCCCTACCACCATTAAGTCTGCAAAAGCACCTCGTTGCTTCCCTCATCAATCAGTGCCACAAAAATTGCTCAGTTTTGGTTCAAGGAGATGGGAATTTTCCATAATGTATTCAGGAAAAAAAAAAAAAAAAAAAAAAAAAAAAAAAAAGATTTCCATATTGCTGAAACTTGAAGGAAATTGAAATTGACATTTTTTATGTTGGTGAGTCCTAAACCAAAAAAAAAAAAAAAGAAAAGAAAATAATATTAAGTTATTTAAGATTAGTGTTCCTAAACCAGAAAAATGATATCAAGTTATTTAAGATTAGTCCAATTACAGCAAATTTGCTGTAATTACTCTTCCTAAAATGCATGCTTCATGATCGTGCCTTAAGGGTGAATTACACCGGTGAAAGAAAGAGTCTCCTAAAGGCGATCATTTACAGAAAAAGTGCCTTCTTTTACTGCTGCTTTAGTTCATTCTTTTCCTGCCTTAAATTGTAGCTCATTTAAACTATGGTAAATTTTGACTGTGCAGAGACACATGGCAGCTCCAATGTAGAGCGACGAGTGAGGATTATAGTCATTCATATATTACTTACAGCAGTGGCACTCCTAGGTCTATTGCTGCTCTTGCATTTCTTGAGGAGGAGGAAGCTGAAGAGAGGAGGTAACATATCTTAAAGACTCATATTACTTTTCTTTCCTAATTAGCAATTAAATCTTTGAATTCTTACCGAGGCGAATCCAACCCCATTTTGTAGTTAGATTCGAAGTTTCTATTTTATGCCTTTCTCATGTCTTGCTTGAAGATCAAGATTTTTAATTTTTATTTCCTTTGCCACTTTATTTTGGTCTAATTCTGTATCTCCTCATGTTAATTGAGCCACTTCAGCTTTTACAAAAGGGCAGGTTGTTAAAACCTGATGGCTCATGTACAGTGAAGTGTACCAAAATCAGGCTTTCTGATTGCTATTAATTTCTGACTTTCATTTTCCTTATTCTTAGTGAAACAAATTGATAAAGTCATTCAACCAAAGTGATTTATTTTTATTTTTGCAAATAATCCACTAAAATGGACCTATCAGATTTTGGGTCTTAATCATAATCCTCTCTTAGGCTTACATGACTTTTTCAGGCTGATGATAGTGAGAGTTGTTTGACAAGAAGGGTGTGTATTTGCCTGCCCTGAGGACATCAATTTTCACCATAAGGGTCTTATAACAAATAAACAAGAAGTTAACCTGGCTGCCTAGAAATTTACCATTAGGAACTGATATGGTTTTTGCACTAGGAGTGACAGCAATACCGCTATAGATGACATTTACTGAAGTAGACAAATGATTAAAGAGACAAATAAATACTGCTAAAAATACATCCAGGGTGTCATTACTAAAGTTTAAGACTATTTCGGTTTTTTTTTTTCTGTTGATAAAATAAAGGACACCAGCTGGACATCTCAACTCTTATTCTACCCACTGATGTTGCTTAACAATTTCTTTTTCTTTCTTGTTAAACAAATAATTATCATGATGCCACTGTACTTAAGAGTGCCATGCCATACCAATCTGGAAAGAGAGTAAGCATGATCCACTAGGAAGCATAATTTTAGAGATTTAAATTTGGGGTCTTATTGAATGGTTTATCCTACTTCTGGATCCATGCCAAATTGCCATACATGTTACTTCAAGGAATATGTACAACTTGTTTTTATTCATATGAAGTTCATTTTCTACACTGCAGGACCAATTAGACTCAATCATGATAGAGATTATGCGAATGAAAACGAGAGGAGAGATATAGAGTTGCCGTTACTTGACTTTGAGAGGATAGCAAATGCCACAAATAACTTTTCATTTTACAATAAGCTTGGAGAGGGTGGCTTTGGACCTGTGTACAAGGTAATGATCAATATTTATATATAACCATGCAGCATCTGGGAAAAATAATTCTGCTACCAACTCTGTTATGGTACCATCTCTATGCACCAAACAAGTATTTGCATACATAGTTTCCAGTCACTAATTTTTTCTGAAATATTCTCAACTTTAAAATCTTCATTCTGAATGCTGACCAATATTAATCAGTGCTATTCTTTTCAAAGATAATCAATCTAATCGTTTTCCCAGTCAAGGACTGTGTTTGCCTCTTTGAATGGTAATGATTCAAAAAAGATGCTTTCTTGGGCTATAGCATATTCAAAAAAGGTGTGCCGAATTGCACAAATTATTTACCTTCTGGTTATACACAAAATAGTACTGCAAAGACACCACTCTGGTCACCAACAGGCCAATGGTCTAGCGGTACCAGGTCCTTATTTCCCAACGGGAGGTCAGAGATTCGAGTCTCAGTGAAAGCATGGGTGTGTGAGTATACCAACTAAGAAAAAAAAGAAAAAGACACTTTTTTGGTCACATGGTTTGGAGTGTTCCTTGCCTGTGAGTCTGATGTTATGATATGAACTAATTGTGTTAATATACCTAATGGAGACAATCTCCATATAGACTAGCACAATGAATGTCAAGGGAAGAAAAAAGGGAAAACAAACTTGCTCAGAATGATAATTTTCAGGGTGTGTTAGAAGAGGGACAAGAAATAGCTGTGAAAAGGCTTTCAAAGAATTCAAGACAAGGAATCGATGAGTTCAAGAATGAAGTTCTATGTATTTCCAAACTTCAGCACCGAAACCTCGTGAAGATTCTAGGTTGTTGCATTCAAGATGACGAAAGGATGTTGATCTATGAATACTTGCCCAACAAAAGCATGGATTGCTTCATCTTCGGTTTGTCTCACTCGAAACCTTGATCTATTTAACCTTTTGTAATTTTTGGTAGTCTTAATATTCCAAACTTAGTCCTGTCAAGTTAATTTTATTGTGCGTGCTCTAAATTCCCCACTTCCTGAGTGATGTTTAGGATGATGCTTTTATCAAAAGCCTTGGGAGAAAGGTCAAGTGCCACATCCTTCCCAGTTGAAGATGGGAAACAGGATACTTAACTTCATCCTAACAAGTGCTGCTGCTTGAACTTGCTCCCAAGGATTATCCATGGTTGTGAATTTATAAAAGTAGTTCTCATTTTGCCCCATGAATCCAACTAAACCGCAGCATGAATTAATTGGATTGAAAAATTGGGCAGATAAAAAACAAAGCATGTTACTGGACTGGCCTAAGTGCTACAACATTATCAACGGGATTGCTCGGGGACTTAACTATCTTCATCAAGATTCTAGACTGAGAATCATCCACAGAGATCTCAAGGCCAACAATATTTTACTAGATAACGATATGAACCCCAAAATTTCAGACTTCGGCATGGCTAGATGTTTTGGCGGTGATGAAATGGAAGCAAATACAAATAGAGTGGTTGGAACACTGTAAGAACTTTAAATATGTTGGATGTGCTACTTCTATTGCTCAGAAATTGATTTCTTTTTTGTTGACTTCCTGCAGCGGTTACATGTCCCCCGAGTATGTAATGAATGGATTCTTCTCGGTAAAATCTGATGTGTATAGCTTTGGTGTATTGGTGCTTGAGATTGTTAGTGGGAGCAAAAATAGAGGGTTTTCTCATCCAAACCACAGCCTCAACCTCCTAGGACATGTAAGTGTCAAGCGCTAATATGTAGTATTTCATGCATTGATTCAAGAATTACTAACAAAAATAAGTTGCAATTAGGCATGGACACTTCATAAAGAAGGCAAACCTTTGGAACTGATTGACGCATCGGTAGTGCACTCGTGTAATCTTACTGAAGCATTTAGATCAATCCATATCGGTTTATTGTGCGTGCAACAATGTCCAGAGGACAGGCCAAACATGTCATCTGTGGTTATGATGTTGGGTAGTGAGATTGCGTTGCCTCAACCGAAAGAGCCCGGGTTTTACACTGGAAGAAAGTTTGCTGAAGTAGGGTCTTCATCAAGCCAGTCTGAATCGTGTTCATCCAATCAATTAACTGTAACGATTTTGGCCCCTCGCTAGAAGATGTTTCATGTCAATATTTTGATCCTCCGCACTCTGGCAAAAACTTTTGTATAAGGCTCTTTTTCAACAGGAAAAAATAAGACTGGCTGAGGCATATTTGAGGAAAAAAAAAAAAAACTTCTTTAGTCCTAGAAGAAGGCCTCCATTAATTTGCAGTATTGGTGGAAAGGTGAGTCATGTAATATTTGTTAATTTTGGTGGCCAGCTCCATTATGTGTTGTCTTTATATTATTTCATTTGTAATTGCCAAGTTTACTAGAAACTTTACTAGTTGGTATTTTAATCTCTTTGAATTTGTAAGCCTAGTCATATATGTATAGTGTTACCCTATAGTCTCATAAGTTATTTCAGTAAAAATTACTCCTTAGAAGGATTGCTTTTCTAAAATCACTCTGAAGATAACAATTAGTAGAAAGAAAGCTACTTGAACTAGCTGCGTGCATAAAGTCATATGTAGTGAAATTGATGACGCTTCTACCATGAGCCCAAAGAATTCAATTACCGAAGTCAATTTGTCAACCAGTTCCCAATGCCTAAAGTTAATTCTATTACTGTATTTATACGTAGGCCTGGACTTGAATTCTTTATCTTAAAACAAATGATAAATTCCTCCAGTTGAATAGTTAATTTAATGTGGAAGTTCTCAAATAAATTTAATTAGAAATGCATGAATAGCAGTCACAGTTAAAACTCTTCAGAAAAATGTGAGTTCAAGAAATAAAATTATATTATTATACCAAATGTGAGTTCAAGAAATAAATTATGTACATTATATTTTGAGTTCAAGAGTTCAAGAAAAATGTGAGTTCAAGAAATAAAATTACCAATTCTTGACATTCATCAATTCCATTGTTACAACTAGAGAACCTAGAATATTGAGGCGGGACAAAAGTTGTAACGACCCTAAACTAAATACCAATTCTCAAAAAAATTCGGCATAACCTTTACTAAAAAAGGACCTACAACAACCTGTTTAAATAAAAAAAAATGCAATGGCCTTTCTTGGCCTTCAAAACTTATCCAACCTGTAAAAAAATATATATAATACATTCCCAAAACAACCACATCAACAATCTCCTCAAGATGGGCCATCATCATCATCATTCCATTCAACACAAAATATTTACATAGTCTCACTTCCCCTCAAAATACCGACTAGAGTTATAGTTTACAATACATGACCATGGTTTGCAAAATGCATACACTTCACTATGGTTTTGAGACTTTACAAAAGTGCAGCAAATATACAAAAGATAGCAAAAAATATATTCCTAGTCCTCCTTAAGTTTGTGAAGGGTCTGCGTCTCCTACTTCCTTCTCGAGTCCAGAAAAAATGTTAAATGTAATGGGGTAAGCAAATTGCTCAGTAGGTGGTACCTAAGACACACCTCTTGTGGCCCCGTGAATCCAAATAATGAATAGGGATAGAGGATAGGGGTCATGCTATGCCGAAAAAAAATACAACATAAATTCCAATTTCAAATAAACAATGCCATGCCATGATATGCAATGTCATGTATGTCGCTCCCCATTTTCAAAACTCAAATCCATCGCTTTTCAAACTATTAATATAACCCGTCCTTTGGTGACTTCGCAGCGATACAAGAGAAGTATTGGCTATTGTCCCTGACCCTTGGTACCCCCGTGGCATCATTTGGGGCCTAGATAGCTCAACCACGCTAGGGTGTTTCCCTAGTTCCCTCTAGGTTATATTAACACCACGACTCTTTGGTGACTCCACAGCAACCGAATTTTTATAAAATCACATTAATCAAAACTTTGTCCCAAAAATCTCTTTTTCATTCACTTCAAATCATTTTGCCATTTTTCCATGCCCAATGTTATGAATGCATGTCACATACTTTGACATTACTATGAAAATAAATGAATTTCTACTACACAATTTAGCATGCTTCCACATAGCAAATTTCTAGCAAAATAATAAATACCACGGCATAGAAATTAACATTTAGACATGTTTTTCATACAATTTAATTACTACACATAATCATATTTTTCATCTACAATATTAATATCATTTCTAAAGCAATCAACTCAAATTAAATATTTCTACCACATAATTTAACATTCTTCCACATATCCATCTCTAGGAAGATAAAAATAAAATAAAATAAAATACACTTAGGCATGGAAATTAACACATAGGCATATTTTTCATACAATTCAATTAACACATATGATCATAGACTTCATGTACAATATTTACATCATTCTTAAGGCAATTAACTCAAAATTAAACATGTTTTGCAACAAATATTAAGGGATAATTCACAAGGGAATAAGAAAAATATGAATTAGAGACTCCTACCTCAAATTAAGCCAAAAACCCCCAAATGGGTCTCAAAACCAGAATCCCTAGAGTGTACTAAAACTGAAATTGCTTATATGGATGTGAAGATCTCGTCGTACTCTTTGAATTGCCGCAAACGGCTTCCAAAAATTCCAAGTATTGAGAGAGGAATCAAAGCTTGAAGTTCACAACAACAACAACAGAAAAAAAAAAAAAAAAAAAAAGAAAGAAAAAATTGAAGAACAAGAGAGTGAGAGAGAAGCTTACGGGTGAGAGAGGATGAGAGACCAATTGTGGTCTCTAGACCACTAATATGGTAGTGGTGGGGTCCACCACTTTAAAATATCTTTTTTTTTTTTTTTTACACCACAAAATGATATATGCACCACCATATAAATACCACATAAATCACATAAAATAAAATGCATAAGATGCAAATAAACCCAACTAAAATTCTCGTACGCAACAATTCCGGTAGTGAGTCCCACCCGGAACCGTCCGATCTGAAAAATAGAAAAATACCAAAATGGTTAACCTTACATTTCAAAGAGTCCGGAACTCAATGAAATGCTCGAAACAATTCTCGGACACAACCGACACACTCCACAGTGCCCGATACGTAAAATGGTAAAAGACAAAAATGCCCTTACAACAACAAAAATTTCAAAAAAAATGGAAAATGATGAAAAATGGAAATATTATAATCTACCCTCCTTAAAAAAATTTCATCCTCGAAATCTACCCTCCTTATGAAAAAGGCCCACAACTACACACCTCTTTCCGAGAACACCTCACAAAACCCCAAAACCATGAACTTACCAACATTATTGCTTTTGATATTGTACGTCACCAGGAAATCGCATGCCACTGCCACCAAAACCCAATGTGGTTACCCATCTCTCCCTTCGTCATAACATAAGATTAATTAGACATCACGCTTGACTCAAAATGGAACATCAGTCTACTCTACACAGTCACATAAGGCTCTAAAGCCCGAGAAAAGAACAGTCATCAGACCACCAAATAAGACAACATCCAACCTCAACTCATTATTCAAAGGACACACAAAATCCCAATTCTAAACATTCCCGTCAAACCAAGCACTCAATATTTAACACGTAACTACACCATCACATAACCGCACCAACAACTACTAATCGCACCATATAACAACCATTACACCCATAACTTCAAGATGATTAAACAATGAATACCCCAATAACTGCATAAACATTAGTCACCAAATCAGTAAAGCGCACTATCTTGCACCTGGGCACAAATCCTCAAAATAAGATCTTTAATAATCAAATGGATTGGACACTTGGTCCCACCTAACATACCTCGTCACCCGAGACAAATCACCTAAATCCACACTATCACGTCGACACATCCCGTAATAAGCTGCTCTCACTATTCGTGACAATTCAAACCTTTGACCTGATATCGTGCTAAAGAGGGATTGATTCAGGAGAGATGGTTGGCCAGGCCATCCTCATCCTCGATCCGATCTCAGCACAGACGTCGTTCTTGTCCTCAGGTCCACACCTCAAATACACTTTCACACTTTCCACAAAACAACAATGAGATCCACTTACTATCAATCCATCATTCTACGTGACCTGAACAACTATACAGTCATATACCTATTCTTAGAATCCAAATCATATCTCAATCACATAACCATAACAAACAAAAATAACACAGCACCAAATGTCTCAATCATCGACCAGCATCAAAGCTTTCTAATCTTCTCATAATACACATACCAGGTAAACAATTCCATAACATCATTTGATCCAATTATGATCTCGTCAAAACACACAATACAACCATCTCATATCTGAAACCTCTAAACTAAAGTCAATTATTCCTATTATTCCTCAATGAAATAACACATTCACTTTTTAGCTGCTTAGCACTCAAATAATACCAACACTTGTCCTCAAGACACCGATCAAATCAACCATTAATAAAAACACCCGAACACATGACTCACATCACATCACCTAATCATACTCAACTGCCGTTTATGACACATCCCTTAGCCATTACCGTTAGTACCAAACACTGGAAACACAATCCCTATTCAGCAACCCGTGCCTCACATTCCACCAGTCAAAACCACTTTCAGAACAAGCACTACAAAACCCAAAGACTCCACCTCCCTTCGTGGGAGTGAGTCGGCCCATTCAATCAGAACCTTTACCGATAAACCCCAATAGTATAATAAACCACTAATAGGTCTGTCCACCCATGGACGTTCACAACTCCTAAATGGAGAACGAGACTCACGACAACGACGTCCTTGCCAGGACTAGAACAAACGGAAAGGGTAACAAACCCCGCTTTCACAAGAAACTGATGACTTGCACTTAAATGCACCCGACACCCTGTCACACGCTAACCACCAATCGTCCAACCGTAGACACCCAATCTCACTTGAGATGAACTGAACTCCTTATACACAAGGAGAAGGACCAACTAGAACACATACTGGACCACGACTTGAACTCTAGGCGACCCCGCCACTAACGGACTGTCCTACACAATCAACACAGAAACCTCGCACACACTTCTCCGCAACACTATGCTAACCAAAACCAATCAGATAATAGCACCAACGCCCTCAACATACTAACACTAGGAACCATCACTGTACGTTGGACACCGCTTCCCATCCTACCCAATAATCTCCCAATGAGAAACTCTATGCAATACAATGACGCATGATCACCCGTTCCACAATTGTTTCAACTGTCACATAATTCATCACCTACCTAACAACACACAACAAATAACTCATAATTTCCAAACTGCATTTGGATCCTACCTTAAACCACTCTGCTCATCACCACTAAGCATCACACCATAACACCTCTACTGCCACTCATTCCAACCACAGTTCTATCTTGTCATCCCACCGGACCATCAAGCCACTACTAAAAGATCTCTCTTCGAATATCCTTAAGACAATATCATCATAACAAAAGAACAAGCATTATTCTCGATATTCCCTATAATGATCACGGCATATTACTAGAAAAGAACCTCAATACCGATAAATCCTCAAAACAAAAATGAGCATAAAACCTAAAATACTCAACACCCAATTGTCATCTCAATACCATCAACGATGCCATCAATCATTAACGCTTAACCGACAACATCAAACCACTCTTTCTAAGCGATCTACGCATCCAAACAAGGAAACTTCATACCCTAAGTTCAACATTGTTACTTTTCCTCATTCCCGTTCCTTAAAACATACTTGGCCCCGACAAAAATCAAATCGGGCTACCAACTAACTTACAAGATCAACCTCATCCCAATCACTCCAATCATTAGTCTATCTCTTCGAATCCTCAAATAACAAGCACTATCTCCAAATACGCCAAACGTAATCTGAAATACAACCTAAATCCATAGCTTTCAAATTCTAGAACACAATTCATTTGATAACATAATACTCACCAGCTATCACTTCATCCATAAACAACTAAGCACTCTAAGGACCCTATACTACCTGCCTTATTGTGCAACCCTGCACTACACAGCTAAAACTGACCATTATACCTCTCCTCGAGACCCTGTAGACAGCCGTGCCAACCCAAAACCACGCTCATCGACTGAGCCATAGAATTAACTCACCGAGAGTCGATCACCCGTAACACACTCCGGTAACTATCCTAAATGAGAATCACTCCTCGACAAACCAGTCTCTAAGGTACACTCTTACAACCCACAAACTGAATCACATCAAATAATTGATCACCCAGCACTGGCATGATTCCAATCAATGCCTACACCACCCTAGACTCACAGAGTCCAACAAGTCCCCTTGACAATCATGACTAACACGCTTCCTTAAGCCGTTCCAATATGCTCGAGATACACCTTTACAATCCATAGACTACATTTGTGACTCAATCAACCCTCATCACACCTACCACAACTGGTTCGAAGAGAACCTCCATACTAAACCATAACCTAAGTCGCAAACACCGACCTCCTAAAGTCATACTGAAACCCTCACTCACACACTTGACCTCCACGGTCACCAGAACCATACACCAATATATGAACTCACACACAACAAGGGCACCTTGCCATGAAATATGAATCTGTTCTAAAGTCATGCTCCAAGCACCGCACAAAATGCAATTAAGAAGAGCAGGATAACTATATGCCAAATAGCTCAATCCATGAGCTAGAAGCCCACGCCATTAGTTTGACAAGAACTGGCACCCAAAGAGCCCTGGAGCAACCGAGCTCCTTGCCTACTCAAGTTAAAACTTACACAACCCTCAATGTCGTGACAAGTACCTCACCGTACTAGCAACCATCCCAATGCTTAACCGTATAATTGTAACGACCCAAATCCACTAGATTTGAATTATTAAACGGGTCCATACCTGACCCTAGATCGTCCAAAGGTAATACGGACCTTTCATATTAAATTTTATAAATTAAAGTCCAAAAAGGACAAGATGGTAATTTGCCACAGTTCAAATGGTTTGAGACTCAAAGGACATAAATGTCATTTACTCAAATCACATAATAAATCAAATAAAATCCGGGGCAATATAGTCTTTTCAATATGATTATTGTATTTTATTGGGTCATAAAGTAATTATAATTGGGAAACTAAATGAAAAATATATGGAACAGGAACCGGTCAACGTGTATTCATTACACGTCAACTGGTTTGGGTCATGCACAGTGATATTGTTCACTGCCAGGATACCGGTTGACGTGTGGGGAAGTTCACGTCGACTGGTTAGAGACGTGTACAGTGGAAAAGTCCACTGCCAATGTAACGCCCCAAAAGGATACCAAAATAATAATAAAAATATATATATAATTTCGGCATGACTTCCGCAGAAAAAGTCCCCCTACGACCTGTTGAAATACAAAAAAATAAATGCAATGGCCTCACTGGGCTTTAAATCTGACATATCCTATCCTAACGCACAATACAGATATTATATTACATTCCCAAAATGGCTACATACATACAGAAGTCCCGTTCCTCCATCTCATCCAAACAAGGGATACACTTTAGTTACATCAATTTACAGTCCAAAATGTAGTAAGAATTTAAAAGTCCATAACTTATAACATTATACTAATTAAACTAAAGTTTCACAAGGTAGTTAATATTACATTTACAAAATATTAGAGTTCTAATACAAAAGATAGCAAAAATAAAATAGATCCCTAAGCTCGTCTAAACTTGTGGTGGATCGTTGTCCGCCACCTCTTTTCCATATCCTGAAAAATGTTAAAAATAATGGGGTGAGCATAAGCTCAGTAGGAAGTGTCTAAGACGCACTTCTTATGTCCCCGTGAATCCATACAATGAATAGATAAAAAGTGAATGAGATCATGCCATCGGGAAACACACATTCTCAACCACAATAACAAGTATGTAACAAATATCAACCAATCACAAATTTACCATGATGTTATGAAGTGCAATGTTATGCAAATGTCACTCCCCATTTACAAAATAATTCCGTTTCAACAATCAAACCTTTAGTGTAGTCCGACCCAAGGCACCTCCATGGCGTCATGAAAGAAAGGTTGGTTAACTATCCACGACCACAAGGCACCTCCAAGGCGTCGCATCTGGCTTAGTTAACTCAACTACATTCCCTTCTAGAATACACCAACATCACGAACCACTAGGTGCCTCATAGGCGTTCGGTTTTCGCAACACTTTTAGAAAATATTTTCCCCAAAACAATTTTATTTGTTCTAACAAATATTTTTCCCCCTTTCTCTTTCCTAATGGATGCGTGAATGCTTCATGCTTCATGCTTCAAATCATCAATTTAACTATATGATTTCACACATTTCCATTTACATCATCATCACAATTAAATGAAAATTTCTAAACATTCATTTATTTTATTTATTTATTTATTTATTGACCATAGCATCAATTTTTCAAAGCAATAAATAAATAAATAGATAATCTTAGGGCATACAATATGTCAACACTAAGCATGCTCATTCACCATAATAAATCTAGTCATATATATGATGTCAAATAACATATGGAACACATCTATCATTTTAGTTAATCATACTTACAACAACCACAAACTAGGTAATCAAAATTAGCATGCTTAGGATCAAATTTAAGGGGAAAATTCACAAACAAACTAAGAAGTTATAGATTAGAACACCCCTACCTCAAATTTAAGAAAAAAACCCCAATTTGAGCCCAAGAACCCTAGAATTTCGAACTCCCTAGAGTGCACCAAAATTGAAATTGTTGGTAGTCACACGTAGATCTCGCCATACTCTTCGATTTGCCGCAAATGGCACTCAAAAATTTCAAGAATGGAAGGAGGAATCAAAGCTTGAAATTGTAAAAGAAAAAAAAAAGAAAAAGAAAAGAGAAGGGAGCTACTGTACGAGAGCGAGAGATATACAGAGAGAGAGAACAATGAGTCTGTAATGACTCTTAAGTCATTTAAATTGACTTATAATTCATGTGGGCCCCATAGGTAAATAAATATACATTTTACTTTAATATATATATATATATAGTCAAAACATTACATTCTCCCTAACTTTAAAAGATTTTGTTCCCGAAATCAAGCCAAAGCTGAGGGAGAAAACAACTCTGGATACTTGGAGCGAACCTCCCGTTCGAGTTCCCAAGTAGCCTCCTCAACTCCGTGATGCCTCCAAAAAACCTTTACTAATGGTATCGTGTTTTTCCTTAACACCTTCTGCTGTATGTCAAGGATCTGAACTGGTCCCTCCTCGTAGGAAACATCCTTATCATTGTCAACCTTAAACCAACTCAAAACGTGTGATGGATCCGGTTCGTACTTCCGTAGCATTGATACATGGAAAACATTATGGACCCTGTCCATCTATGGTGGCAATGCTAGTCTGTAGGCAACCTCTCCTATACTGTCCAAGATCTCAAAAGGTCCAATGAATCGTGGAGACAACTTGCCACTCTTTCCGAACCTCATTAACCCCTTCCGTGGAGAAACCCGAAGAAAAACGTGGTCTCCCACCTCAAAGGACAGTGGTCGTCTCTGCCTATCTGCATAACTCTTTTATCAGCTCTAAGCTGTAAGTAATCTCTGCCTGATTAGCTTAATCTTCCCGGTAGTCTCGAGTACAATATCGGGTCCTAAGGCGGCTGTCTCGCCCACCTCAGTCCAACAGACAGGAGACCTACAAGGTCTACCATACAACGCCTTAAATGGAGCCATCTGAATACTCGTCTGATAACTGTTGTTGTAGGCAAACTCAATAAGTGGAAGGTGATCTTCCTAACTACCACCCAAGTCAAGTGCACAGGCCCGAAGCATATCCTCCAAGATCTGGATGGTACACCCCGACTGGCCGTCCGTCTGCGGATGGAATGTCGTACTAAGGTGCAACACTGAGCCAAACACTGCTTGAAGTCTTTCCCAAAACTTCGAGGTGAACTTGGCATCCCTATCTGAAACAATAGCTACTGGAACTCAGTGCAATTTTACAATCTCTTTCACATAAAGCACACCAAGCGCCTCTGCATCATCTGTTGCCTTAATAGGCAAGAAGTGAACCGTCTTGGTCAATCTATCGATAATGACCCATACAGCTTCACTTCCCCTTCATGACCTAGGAAGACCCGTCATAAAATCCATTGCAATCTCCTCCCATTTCCACTGCGCTTCCGGCAATGGCTGCAATAAACCAGCTGGTCTCTGGTGCTCGGCCTTCACCTGCTGACAGGTAAGACACTTAGCCACAAACTGTGCAATGTCCTTCTTCATTCCATTCCACCAATACTGACATCTCAGATTGTGATACATTTTGGTACCACCTGGATGAACTGCAAAGCGGGAAGTGTGAAATTCCAGTAAAACGTCCTCACGACAAACTGTGGGACCAACCAACAAACCCCTGAACCGTAAACCTTTATCTGTATATAAGGTCCAATCCTTCACGATCTCACCACTGGAGATCAAGGTATAAATGGCATCCAAATCCGAATCCTGTCTCTGTGACTCAATCACCCATCTGACAAGGGTGGGCTGAGCCACGAGACTAAACAAGAATGCTGACTCACTGCCATCATCATCATCAAAGCAATACAGTCCCATCTCTGCCAAATCTTCAAGCATCTTCCATTTTTGAATGGCTAAACTAGCCAAAGTTCCACGAGATTTCCAGCTTAAACCATCAACTACCACATTTGTCTTGCCAGGATGATACTACAAATCAAAGTTGTAGTCCTCTAAGAATTCAACCCATCGCCTCTATCTGTTGTTCAAGTCCTTTTGAGAGAAAAGGTACTTGAGACTCTTGTGATCCGAGAACACCTCAAATCTCTCACCATACAAATAGTGTCTCTAACACTTCAAAGCAAACACAACTGCCGCTAACTCTAAGTCATGAGTAGGGTAGTTAAGCTCGTGAGTCTTTAACTGTCGAGACCCATAAGCCACTACTCTATCATCTTGCATCAGTACACAACCCAAACCATCATGTGAGGCATCACAATAGATCACATAACCCAAGCCACGCTCAAGTATCACTAACACCGGAGCCGTAGTCAACCTTGTTTTCAACTCTTGAAAAGATGACTCACAGGCCTCATTCCATGCAAACTTGATCCCTTTCTGGGTCAATCTGGTCATAGGAGCTGCCAAACGGGAAAAATCCTTTACAAATCTCCGATAATAACCTGCTAGGCCAAGGAAACTCCGGATCTCAAAGACATTCTTGGGTTGCTCCCAACTTAAAACTGCCTCTATCTTTGAAGGATCAACTAAAACCCCACCTTCCGAGACAACATGTCCCAAAAATTTCACCTCTTGTAGCCAAAACTCACACTTTTCATACTTAGTGTACAGACGGTGCTCCCGTAAAATCTACAACACTATACTCTAATGGACCTCGTGCTCCTCTCGAGTCCGTGAATACACAAGAATATCATACACGAAAACTACCACAAACTGATCCAAATAATCGTGGAAGACACGGTTCATTAAATCCATGAATGTCGCCGGTGCATTAGTTAAACCTAAAGGCATAACAAGAAACTCATAGTGTCCATACCGCGTACGGAAAGCAGTCTTCGAAATATCCTCCTCTCTAATCCGTAATTGATAATAACCTGACCTCAAGTCAATCTTTGAAAAACAATTGGCTCCCCTCAACTGATCAAATAAATCATCTATCCTTGGCAAATGATACTTGTTCTTGATGGTGGCATGATTCAACTTCCGGTAATCAATGCACAACCTCAAAGAACCATCTTTCTTCTTAGCAAACAAGACCGGTACACCCCACGGTGACACACTCGGTCGTATGAAGCCTTTCACTCTCAAATCGTCAAGTTGCTTCTTCAATTCTTCTAATTTTAATTGGTGCCATACGATACGGTGCCATAGAGATTGGCGCGTTACTAGGCATCAAATCAATAGCAAATTGCATCTCTCGGTGTGGAGGCAACTCAATCAAGTCCTCCGAAAACACATCCAGAAAATCGCGTACAACTTCTGGATAATCAACCCCACAAAACTCCACATCATCATCAGCGAACAGACTAGCCAAGAAGAACGTCTGCCGATCCCAACCCCTAGTACCATAGAATGAAGATGTGAGAGAATCACACTGATCTTCCACAAAACAGAAGCAATCCCTATCTGGGGTACACATTGAAACTCTGCCCCTAAAGCAATCAATGACAGCTCTGAAGGATGACAACCAGTCCATCCCAAGAATGACGTCAAATCCTGTCATCTCGAGAAGGATGAAATCGAACTCAATAACACGTCCGGCAATCGTGATGGAACAACTCCTACAAACTCTACCAATAGTGACTGAATCCCCAATAGGTGTGTCAACACAGAGTGATCTGTCTAACTGACTGACCTCCAAACCCAATACCCGTGTAAATGATGAAGCAATGAATGAATAAGAAGCACCGAAATCAAACAATACACGTGCCCAAGAATGGGACACAAGAAATATACCCCTGACAACTGAAGGACTAGATGGTGACTCGGCTAGAGTGAGTGCAAACACGCGACCTTGGGTCCTCTGCCCCTGAGAACTGCTTGCCTAATAGCCAGACTGCTAAGTGGGTGCACTCGAAGAAGCTCCCTTACCCGGTCGAGAACTTTGGGCTGACATGACTGGCTGAAACGGCTGAGGTGGTGGTGGCGGTCGAAACCCTGACTGAACTATGGCAGACTACATCTGCCTCTGCTGTGAACCTTCACCTCTGCCCAAACTACTGCCCCGCTGTGGACAATCTTTCACCCTATGGCCCTGCTGGCCACACCCGAAACATCCACCAAACGTCACCTGAATCTGAGTACACTGGGACCTGTGATGCCCTGAATGCCCACACTTGAAACAAATCACTTGAGTGACCTAAGCCTGAGTGCATTGGGACTTATAATGTCCCAGCTGTCCGCATCTAAAATAAGTAACATTCGATATAGAAGACCCCGTGGACACTGAAGCTGTGGGTGAGGATCTAACTGGCTGCTGTCCTCTGAACCCTGACTGCTCATGCTTCTGCTTCTTACTTGATTGACCCTCGGAGAAAGCACTCATACCCCTGTTGTGCTTGTAGAATTCCTTGATAGCCTTACTGTCCCTGCTTTCAGCCTCAACTACTAAGGCCTTTCGCACTGCTTTTGCATACTCTGTCGGTTCTGAGGCAGCTACAATTGGCCTGATGGTGAGATTAAGACCATCAACAAACTTCTCTATATTTCCTTCCTCATTATTAGCAATCCCCCGTGCAAACCTCAAAAACGATGTAAACTTGTTCTCATACTCTGTAACTGTCATGTTTCCTTGCTTTAACCCATCAAACTCCTTCTTTAGTTCCCTCTGCTTAGGCGCCGGAAAGTACTTCTCATAGTACAATTTCTTAAAAGTATCATATGTCATTGTATCCAGATTATGGGTGTGAGAAACGGTCTTCCACCAAATCTCAGCATCGCCCACAAAATTGTAAATAGCCAATGTAATCTTCAATATATTCGTTGCCAAATTCATAGCATTAATATGCTTCTCCACCCTATCCATGAAACTATCCGCAACAAGCGGATCTGGGCCGCCCTCAAACAGAGTTGGCATCAATTTCACAAACTTTGCAATGTGATAAATAGTATCATTCAACTCATTTGTCTTTAGAGGTGGTGGTGGTGGCGGTGCCGGTGGTGGCACAAATTGTAACGATGACACACCTGCTGGTCGAAATGCTTTGAAAAGAGCTGCCTCAACAGCCAACTGCAATTGTGCCTCATTTATCTGAAAAGGTGGATCAACGGTCCCCCTCGCTTGTCCCCCTCTCGGTGGGACTAAATCACGCAATAAGATATCCTCCTCAACTTGCGCGCTCCTAATCTCTTTCCACGGGATTAGAGCTAGAACTTTCCCTGGGATCCCTTCTTGGTGGCATGATGTTATAAGAAAAATGAAACGGATCAATTACGATGACACTAAAATACGCACGAGAACGAAGTCCTCACACGAATGACTTGACAAGAATGGAAACGCATAAACACCTTTCATACTCCCAGAATACCCAACTAATGATAAACATAATCATGCTAATAATATACAACAACACTAAGTATTTAGCACGTAATCATGTAAGCAGTTAAACAATTAAGCATGGCTTTCAAATAATTAAGCACCTTAACACATAGGCATATAAGCATGTAATCACGTAAGCAATTAAGCAAGTAAACAAATAACTTAACTCCCTATGCAATCCTAGGTAGGCCTCTACCTGTCGTCCTAATGGTATTCGAACCATCGCTCTAATACCAAATTTGTAACGCCCCAAAAGGATACCAAAATAATAATAAATATATATATATATAATTTCAGCATGACCTCCGCAGAAAAAGTCCCTCTACGACCAGTTGAAATACAAAAAACATAAATGCAATGGCTTAACTGGGCCTTAAATCTAACATATCATGTCCCAACGCACAATATAGATATTATATTACATTCCCAAAATAGCTACATACATACAGAAGTCCCATTCCTCCATCTCATCCAAACAAGGGATACACTTTAGTTACATCAATTTACAGTCCAAAATGTAGTAAGAATTTAAAATTCCATAGCTTATAACATTATACTAATTAAACTAAAGTTTCACAAGGTAGTTAATATTACATTTACAAAATATTAGAGTTCTAATACAAAAGATAGCAAAAATAAAATAGATCCCCAAGCTCATCTAAACTTGTGGTGGATCGTCGTCCGCTACCTCTTTTCCATATCCTGAAAAATGTTAAAAATAATGGGGTGAGCATAAGCTCAGTAGGAAGTGTCTAAGACACACTTCTTATGTCCCCATGAATCCATACAATGAATAGATAAAAAGTGAACGGGATCATACCATTGGGAAACACACATTCTCAACCACAATAACAAGTATGTAACAAATATCAACCAATCACAAATTTACCACGATGTCATGAAGTGCAATGTTATGCAAATGTCACTCCCTATTTCTGAAACAATTCCGTTTCAACAATTAAATCGTTAGTGTAGTCCGACCCAAGTCACCTCCATGGTGTCACGAAAGGAAGGTTGGTTAACTATCCACGACCACAAGGCACCTCCAAGGCATCGCATTCGGCCTAGTTAACTCAACTACATTCTCTTATAGACTACACCAACATGGAGCACATCTATCATTTTAGTTAATCATACTTACAACAACCACAAACTAAAATTAGCATGCTTGGGATCAAATTTAAGGGGAAAATTCATAAAAAAACTAAGAAGTTGTAGATTAGAACACCCCTACCTCAAATTTGAGAAAAACCCCAATTTGAGCCCAAGAACCCTAGAATTTCGAACTCCTTAGAGTGCACCAAAACTGAAATTGTTGGTACTCACATGTAGATCTCGCCGTGCTCTTTGATTTGCCGCAAATGGCACTAAAAAATTTCAAGAATGGAAGGAAGAATCAAAGCATGAAATTGTAAAAGAAAAAAGAAAAAAAGAAAAGAGAAGGGAGCTACTGGACGAGAGCGAGAGATATGCAGAGAGAGAGAACAATGAGTCTGTAATGACTCTTAAGCCATTTACATTGACTTGTAATTCATGTGGGCCCCACAGGTAAATAAATATACATTTTACTTTAATATATATATATATATATATAGTCAAAACATTACAGCCAAGATACCGGTCGATGTGTGGGGAAGTTGACGTCGACTGGTTTAGGTCATCCGGTCGACTTATGGGATTTCACGTCGACCGGTTGGGTTATCCTCACCCAAAATACCATTGTCTAAAAGAAACCGAGATACACCAACTTTGGAAGCCAACCACCCATATCACTACACTCACATACATATTTAAATACATTTCAACACCTAATACAATAATAACAACCACATTGATAACGTAATTTACAACACATTATAGAAAATACGCTAAAGGATTTGGTGTGACAAAAACTTAATTACATTTCCCAAAATGGACCTAAATACAACACATGTTACAAAATAATACATTTTTAAGTCAACACTTTACAAAATTAGGCCCAATTACAAAAGATAACAAAAAGAAACATTTTTCTCCTCCAAGCTAAAGCAAGGGTGGATTGTCTTCCGCTATTTCTTTTCCGTGTCCTGAAAATTGTTAAATAAAAAGGGGTGAGTAGTTGCTCAGTAGGTGGTGCCTAAGACACACCTCTTGTAGCCCCGTGAATCCAAACAAAGAATAGGACAATAAGGGAGGGGAACATGCTAAGTCGGGGAAAATACGATATACATTTTCAAATTCAAAACAAATGAATGTCGTGCCATGAATGCAATGTCATGCATGTCACTCCCCATTTTCAAAAAACATCATTACTTTACAAACTGTTAATATAACCCGCCCTTTGGTGACTCCGCAGCGACACGAGAGAAGGATTGGCTACTGTCCCTGACCCTTGGTACCTCTGCGGAGTCATTTGGGGCCAGATAGCTCAACCACGCTAGGGCAATCTCCCTAGTTCTTTCTAGGTTACATTAACACACCGGTCCAAACATTTTTCCCAAAATCCCTTTTCATTTGTTCAAAACCACTTCCCTTCATCCATGCCCCATAATATGCATGTATGTCTCATGTATGCAATATTAGGGCAATAAGGAATTTCCATTCAACACCATAAAGCAAACTTTACAAGAATTCTAAGAAATTTTACTCATGCCTTCATATATCATCTCTAACAATTTATCAACACAATGAACATAGGAAACCAACATTTAAGCATGTTTTTTTATACAAACCAACAAATACATATGACAACATGCTCCATAATACACAATTAGGTGATAATCAAATCAAATTAATTATGCTTGACAACAATTAAAGTGGAAAAACTCACAAAAGAACAAGAAAACATGGATTAGAAACCCCTACCTCAAGCTAAAAGAAAATTCCCAATTTATACCCTAGAATTTTTGAAATTGCAAGTTTAGCCAAACAAGAAATTGTTCACATCAGTGTGAAGTCCTCACCGAGCTCTTCAAATTGCCGCAAACGGATTCCAAAAATTCCAAGTATTGAAGGGGAAATCAAGTTCCAAAGTTTTTATTCAAAAAGAAAAAGAAAAATCAAAATAAAGGGGGTGAGAGAAAGGGAAGCAAGAAATGAGGCCTAAATGCCTCATGGTTCAATCTAAAACATGATGTGTGGGCCCTACCAAAAATTAAATTTATTTTCCCTTTTTATTTTTAGTTTCATTATACACCACATATATACTTATACACATTAATTCACAATCACTTAAAACACATTTAATAAAATAAATATGATGCAAGTGAATCCAACCAAGATCCTCGGATGTAACAATTCCGATAGCGGGTTCCACACGGAACTGTCCGGTCTAAAAAACAGAAAAATGCGAAAATGGTCACCCTTACATTTCAAAGAGTCCTGAACTCAATGAAATGCCCCAAACAACTCTAGGACACAATCGGCACACTCCACAGTGTTCGGTACGTAAAACGGCAAAAGACGAGAATGCCTTTGTAACGACAAAAATTTCAAAAAATTGGAAACTGGTAAAATTCAGAAACAGCATAATAACCACATAAGAACAAAGTCATATGCGTATACAAAATAAATGAAACCCATGATACTACATGAAACATGTTGGCAAATACATGCTCGTTACTTGTCACATTAGCATTTAAATTAGAACTGCACACACCGTGTCTACCACTTATGTTACCATACTCCTCATACACAATCAATATGTTTCTCTTTTATTTCACATTTCATTTACACGATTAGATCATCTAACTATTCCTCGTACATGGTCATGTAACATAAACCTTAACATATAAACATATAAACATGCAAACATATAGCAAGGAAACATGTCTTTCAAAATCGAGAGCATATAAATATGTAAACAAGTAGACAGTTAAGCTTGTTTTTCAAATAACAAAACATTTTAGCAAGTAGTCACACAAATAATGCAAATGACTTTCCACATAGTCGTAGGTAAGCCTCTACCCGTCGTCCTAATAGTTTTCGAACCATTGCTCTAATACCAAATTTGTAACGACCCTAAACTGAATACCTATCAAAAAAATTCGGCATGACCTCTACTAAAAAAGGGCTTACAACACTTTAAAAAAATATATAAAAAATAAAAAATAAAAAATAAATGTAATGGCCTTTCTTGACCCCTCAAAACTTATCCAACCTGTAAAAAATATATATATAATACATTCCCAAAACAACCACATCAACAATCTCCTCAAGATAACCCATCATCATCATCATTCCATTCAACACAAAATATTTACATAGTCTCACTTCCCCTAAAAATACCGACAAGAGTTACAGTTTACAATACATAACCATGGCTTGCAAAATGCATACACTTCACTATGGTTTTGAGACTTTACAAAAGTGTAGCAAATATACAAAAGATAGCGTAAAATATATTCCTAGTCCTCCTTAAGTTTGTGAAGGGTTTGTGTCTCCTACTTCCTTCTCGAGTCCTAAAAAAATGTTAAATGTAATGGGGTGAGCAAATTGTTCAGTAGGTGGTGCCTAAGACACATCTCTTGTGGCCCCGTGAATCCAAATAATGAATAGGGATGGATGATAGGGGTCATGCTATGCTGGAAAAGAATACAACATAAATTCCAATTTCAAATAAACAATGCCATGCCATGATATGCAATGTCATGTATGTCGCTCCCCATTTTCAAGACTCAAATCCATCGTTTTTCAAACTGTTAATATAGCCTATCCTTTGGTGACTTCGCAGCGACAAGAGAAAAGGATTGGCTACTGTCTCTGACCCTTGGTACTCCCGCGGCGTCATTTGGGACCCAGATAGCTCAACCACGCTAGGGTGTTTCCCTAGTTCCCTCTAGGTTATATTAAAACCACGGCTCTTTGGTGACTCCGCGGCGACCGGGTTTTTATAAAAATCACATTAATAAAAACTTTGTCCAAAAAATCCCTTTTTTATTCACTTCAAATCATTTTGCCCTTTTTCCATACCCAATGTTATGAATGCATGTCACATACTTTGACATTACTATGAAAATAAATGAATTTCTACTACACAATTTAACATGCTTCTATATAGCAAATTTCTAGCAAAATAATAAACACCATAGTATGGAAATTAACATTTAGGCATGCTTTTCATACAATTTAATTACTACACATAATCATATTTTTCATCTACAACATTAATATCATTTCTAAAGCAATTAACTCAAATTAAATATTTCTACCACATAATTTAACATGCTTCCACATATCCATCTCTAGGAAAAATAAATAAATAAATAAACACACACTTAGGCATGAAAATTAACACGTAGGCTTATTTTTCATACAATTCAATTAACACATATGATCATAGACTTCATGTACAATATTTACATCATTCTAAGGCAATTAACACAAAATTAAACATGTTTTGCAACAAATATTAAGGGATAATTCACAAGGGAATTAGAGACCCCTACCTCAAATTAAGCCAAAAACCCCTAAATGGGTCTCAAAACC